TTACACACACACACACACATACACACATGCACGCACAACCTCAATGATGTGGTCATTCTGGTTGAGGGCTGTATATTAAAAAAAACTAAAGTTAGTTTGGGATCAACTTTCTCAAATACCTAAATTCTCTTGTTCCCAATAGACAGCATTGTCTTGATTTTAAGAACACATTAAGCAACACTTCAGACCACACAACATGCTGCCTTCAGCTTGTGAAAAAACATGTTAATTTCTATGTTATTATTGTTATCTTTTACACACTGAGCTCCAAGATGGTGGCAAGACATCAGTGTGTGATACATTTGCCGCTGTGCGGTACAATCATGAAACACGTCAGGTTAAGTGTCATGTTAACTAAACATGGGGAGTCAAGCTGTTTCAGATTCATGCAGCTAGTGTTTTGCCTGATGAAGGTCTCAAGACCAAAACTTAGCATTTTCTATGAAAAAAATATTTTTTCCAAGGACAGCAGTGAGCGGGAAACATTATTTTTTTCAGATTCATGCAACTAAAATCTGGAACAATGTTCCTGAAAATGTGAGACAGACCTCTTTTCTGACAATGTTCAAATCCAGGTTAAAAACAGTTCTGTTTAGCTGAGCATACAACTGACTTTGTTTCTTTCTTTTGAATGTACTGTGTGACTTTGAGCCGCCTTGTGTATGAGTTGTGCTATACAAACAAACTTGCCTTTTTTAGATGTTACATATCTTACCTGATCCGAGGTGCAGACACTCCCATCTCCTCTCCATCTCTCCGGCAAACTTCCCGTCTCTGCCGAACAACTTGGCTCCACGCAAATGTGCCGGATTCTGCCTCCCCGGGATTCACTACTTTTTTTCCCCGCACCACTGCTCGAGATTGACTTATGCGTCTTGCCTTGTCTATGTTTCATTTAAACTACGACTGATTATGAATAACCAACCTTGATTGTTCCGTTGCATCTTTCTGCTCAGAGATAGTCCATCATTGTTCACTCGTCATCCTCCTAATAACAAATCTGCAACGTCCACTTCATCTTACTTTATTTACGCATACCACGTTTGAAAGATTTAGTTTCCATGCAACACGCTAGAGGCCCGCCTACTCTTACATGTGATGTTGATGGACGACAGTGGCAGCGCATGCAATCGACACGCAGACAGAGGACACATACATCCTTATATCCATCAGTGAATAGAGTCTGGCTTATGCTGGCTGTAATGCAACAAGAACATGGACCTCCGGCTTGCACAAAAGAGCTGTGATAAACAGAGATAATACATAATGGCAAAAGAAAAACACACATTACTTACCTTTGGGCTCCCAGCCGAGAAAGTGCTGGGAACTTTTAGAATATTTAGCATAGACATGTTGGCAAGTTGTTGTTGTTTGTGTGTGTGTGTTTGAGTTGTTGAGGTTTGTGGATGTGGTCTGTTCTCAGGGAGTTTTGGTATCGCAGTGTGCTAGATAACATAACATGATAGTTAATTTATTTATCAAATATTGGTGCTGATATTGGTTAAATATGGTAAGATAACTTATTCTTAAAATGGAGGTTTAAATCTATTCAATTACATTTATTCTTGTACAGCCCTAAATCACAATCACAATGAAACGGTTGAATTTCTCAACGCAGATCAGAGAATAAAACAGTTCAAACACAAGGAACACAATGATAGAAAACACACTGGTATTGGTCCATAAGGGGCAGATCACCAATGTCCATAAGTGTCGATACATGTCCATAGAAATTGTTCAATGTTGAGTGTACTGGATCCTTACCACTGTCCTTTTTGTTAGAACCTCCTGCATGGGCAAGGAAAAACTCTATGGTGCATGTTTTGGGTAGTAGGAGAAACCGGAGCACACGGAGGAAACCTAGACACAGCAAAGCTTCTTGCTGTGAAGCATGAGTATGTAATGGTACATTAATCAAGACAGAGTCACAGCAGAGATACTAGAGCCAGGTTATAACATAATGCTAATTGGTGTAGTCGCTGAGCAGGTGTGTATTTAGAAACATGTCCTGTTGTAGAACTGTGACTTGTTTAGGTGTGTTATTAATTAAGATTAAACGTATGAGTAAGTCTATTCTATAGGGACAATATCAGTGTCAAAGTCAGCATGTACAGACTCTTCCAAAAATCATACTAGTTTAGAAGGCAGAAGGACGCCCTTTTCAATTTGATGGCTTTGTTTATTCAGCATCTGAAGTCGATCCATGTGTTTACTGCTGTCTATATATTGTACGGGGAATTCTCCTCGGGGCAGACGGTTCACAGAGCAACAGCCAAGAGGTCAGGGCGGCGGTTTGTTGGCGTTGTATATGTGCACATTTTACTGAATTAATTAACCATACTTTGATTGTGTTGGTTTTTCACTTGACTGTTTATGCTGGTTATTCTTTCTATAAATGTTCGTACAGACCTGGAATGATGTCTGGGTCTGTCACGCAGTTGGATTGAGTATTGTTTTTTATATAGGTTTAGCTGTGAACACAACTGAGGGATTTTTTCTTCACTGTTTTAATGTCCTGTGATTATTTATGATTTTAAGACATTGTGTGATTTTGGTAAGCACTTTGAGTTGCATTGTGTTTGAACTGTGTGATACAAATGGAGCTTAAGCGGAGGTTCAGTATGGTAGACTACCTACGTTATCACACCAGGCGTGACCACGCCTTACTCAGCCTGTCTTAATCAACTCCCCGCAGCCGTGTCTATCAAGCCAGCGTTTAAGAGCAAAGCAGAGCACAGCTCACCAAACGGACTTCAAGCTGCAATGGGTTGCTCTTCGTCACTTTGTTTACTCACGCTTCGCACATTGTTCGTCCTGCATGGTCGCGGCTCCTCTTCCACATCAAGGGCTCGACACACGGGAGGCGACAAATGAGAGCGATCAGCGAAACTCAACGCTGTCGCTCAGATAACATGACAGACGGGGCGCGATGCGGCTTGACGACAGCGTCGAAAAGTTGAGCCGATTTCAATTTTCTGGGATCGCGTCGCTGACCTGCGCGTGCACGATACATGCACGAGCGGGAGGATTTCACACGCACGTTTTTCGCCCGTCGCTGAGCAGGAGGCTCGCTAGCGATTGACGCTATGTCGCGCACGTCCCATTGAAAATGAATGGAGGCGATGCGATGTCGCCTCTCGTGTGTCGAGCCCTTTACACGTTTGGGGCTGCGCGCCATGGTCGCTGTGTCTCCACCGCGGGTCCTCTCCTGCGGACTCGCTGCAGCTCGTCTCCCCGTGGCCGCTGCGCTCGCGGCCAGGCTCCGCGCACCCTGCCGCTTCCATACCGGGAACGGGACTTCTGTCTGCCTGCCGTGTCTGCTGCCTCTGTCCACCCGTCTCCCTGCCTCCACTCACGGTACAGTGTCTGTTTCGTCGTCTTCCCCACTACCATGAACTGCACTGAACTGCGGCGTGTCAGTTAATCCCGCCGAATTGTCTCGCAGGCTGTGTTTTTACCCGATGCCATGCTCTGCAGGCTGTTCGTTTTACCATCTGCATAAGGCATTTAGACCGTCCGTTTTCACCATGGACCGCACATTTTAACCACTGTATTGGCCTTCTGGCTGTCCGTTTTACTCATGGGATGAACATTCTACACAATGCAGTGACTTCCAGGCTGTCCGTTTGACTATGGTCTGAACATTTTACCCACGCATTGACCTTCAGGCTGTCAGTTGTAACCATGGACTATAACATTTGTCGTCTGCATTGGCCTTTGCGCTGTCTATTTGACCGTGAACTGTAAGTTTTGCCCACCGCATTGCCTCCCGGCTGTCCGTGTCTGATGAGCTGCTCTGATTGGTCGGAGCGCGGCCGAGCCCCTCTGTACTGTTCATTTTAACCAGTGCGTTGGCCTTCAGGCATGCTTCAACGGCCTCACTTCAACGCTTCATCGCAGCACACGTCGGCGGCCGCACACTTCAACGCCCACACGCTTCGCCAACGCCACTTCGGTGGCCGCACGCTTCGCCGACGCCACTTCGGTGGCCGCACGCTTCGACGACGCTTTGACGACTCCACGCTTCGACTCCTCCTCCACGCTTCGACTCCTCCTCCACGCATCGACTCCGGCGCACTCATCAACGACGGCGCACGCATCGACGACGGCGCACGCATCGACGACGGCGCACGCATCGACGACGGCGCACGCATCGACGACGGCGCACGCATCGACGAAGGCGCACGCATCGACGAAGGCGCACGCATCGACGAAGGCGCACGCATCGACGAAGGCGCACGCATCAACGAAGGCGCTCGCTTGGGCGGCGCACGCCTTGACGCCTCAACAACGCCGCACGCTACGCCGCAGCACGCTTTGACGCAGCACGCTTCAACGATGGCGCACGCTTTGACGCAGCACGCTTTGACGCAGCACGCATCAACAACGCAGCTCGATTGGACGCCGCACGCCTTGACGCCGGCGCACGCCTTGACGCAGCCGCATGCATCAACGACGCCGCTCGCTTGGACGCCGCTCGCTTGGACGCCGCTCGCTTGGACGCCGCACGCCTTGACGCCTCAACGACGCTGCACGCCTTGATGCAGCACGCTTCAACGACGGCGCACGCTTCAACGACGGCGCACGCTTCAACGACGGCGCACGCCTTGAGGCAGCACGCTTTGAGGCAGCACGCTTTGACGCAGCACGCTTCAACGACGGCGCACGCTTTGACGCAGCACGCTTCAACGACGCCGTACGCTTTGACGCAGCACGCTTCAACGACGCCGCACGCTTTGACGCAGCACGCTTCATCGCAGCACACGTCGGTGGCCGCACGCTTTATCGCCGTACGTCGGTCGGCGCACACGCTTCCACGTCGGTGTCTGCCTCCTGCCGCATTCTCGACGCCACGCTTCGACGCATTCGTGTGCTCTCATCCATTCATCGTGGAACCAGTGTCGACCATGGACTCGCGTTCCCTATTGGTGGGTGAACAATCCAACGCTAGGAGAGTTCTGCTTCACAATGACGGGAAGAGCCGGCATCGAAGGATCAGGTCAGTGGTCTGACTGAAGACGCGGTCTGACTGAAGACGCGGTCTGACTGAAGACGCGGTCTGACTGAAGACGCGGTCTGACTGAAGACGCGGTCCGACTGAAGACGCGGTCCGACTGAAGACGCGGTCCGACTGAAGACGCGGTCTGACTGAAGACGCGGTCTGACTGAAGACGCGGTCTGACTGAAGACGCGGTCTGACTGAAGACGCGGTCTGACTGAAGACGCGGTCTGACTGAAGACGCGGTCTGACTGAAGACGCGGTCTGACTGAAGACGCGGTCCGACTGAAGACGCGGTCCGACTGAAGACGCGGTCCGACTGAAGACGCGGCCCGACTGAAGACGCGGTCTGACACTGCCCGTTGGTCCTTTTCACTCGAGTGATAGTTCAAGTTCAAAGGAACGCGATGCCGCAACGCCGCACCAAAGCGCTGCTACAACGCCGCGACGGTGGCCTGCTGCAACGCTGGCCTGCTAAGACTGCATGAGTACTGTCGGCGTGGCCTTCAAACCTGGCCGGCTATCTTCCCCAGGCCGCACTCATTGGCTTTTGGTGTGCAGCACTGCCCGCCACGGTTTGCGTGCACTCTGAGTGGCTGTAGGCGGTGCTCCTTCTCATGTTCCCCAGGCATATTCTCTCCTGGTCTCCTGGTGCGGCTCCTGCCGCCGGGCCTGTCTCACGCTTCGCCTTACCTGACGCACCCTGGCCCTCATTCTGACCGTGCCCTCGTGCGTTGGTTTTTGGGGGTCCAGAGATCTCCTATCGAACATCAATCTTCCTGGGTAAGTGTACTTCATGAATCTCATTTTCACCTTCTAGTCTCCCCAAGTGGAATCATGTTCGAATATCAGCGCTCTAAACACCAGCAGTTTATCCTTCATTCAGCATTCTCCTTTCCCTCTCACTGCACACTCAGTCTCTGGACATCAGCATCGCGGGTACTGCCGTCACTGCCTCATCTACATCGGCATTAAATACATTCTCTAAAATCCACTTCGAGTCACACTGCTCCACCCTCATAAGAAGATCCTAAAAGGAGTATTGGCAATGGTCCTTGTTCTGTAGTTTAGGTCCTGGACGACTAGCCTGTCTGTCCGTGGAGTGGATTCCCTCTCTCTATGTAGGGTCTTCCGAAGGTTTCTCACTTTTTTCCCCACGGGGTTTTGTGAGTTTTCCTTGCCATGCAGGAGGGTCTGGACAGTTAGTGTCCAACTAGAAGGCCCGTGGTGATGATCCAGGATACTTTAACATTCTACAACATCTATGGACATTTTATCAACATTCATAGACTATAATTACTCCTTAAACAATCCCTCGACGACCCCCTGGTCTGAACAAATTCAAAACCTCTGCTCCCTGCATGTAACCTCTCTTCCTTTCTCTACACCCGCCACTCTTTCCGGATAGGAGCAGCCACTTGGACTGCTGCCCTGGGACTCCCTCAATCATCTCTCCAGGAGCTCGGTCCCCGGTTCTCTACCACATTCACCCGTTCTGGCAGCCCAGCGCCTCCTCTCATATAAGTACGTATGCATCTCCTGGTGGTGGCAACTCCTCATTTCCAGCATGGCGCGCACTCGAGCCGAGCTCGTACGCGTGCCAACGCCTAGCGCTAGAGCCGAGCGTGCGCACGGACATTACGCCGCGCACTCGAGCCGAGCTCGTGCGCGTGCCAACGCCTAGCGTTAGAGCCGAGCTCGCGCACGGACATTACGCCGCGCACTTGAGCCGAGCTCGTGCACGTGCCAACGCCTAGCGCTAGAGCCGAGCTCGCGCACGGACATTACGCCGCGCACTTGAGCCGAGCTCGTGCGCGTGACAACGCCTAGCGCCAGAGCCGAGCTCGCGCACGGAAACAGTCACTCACACCATGCGCCTTCCATAAACGCAGCAACCAAGTCATGGCATACGCATCGCTAGCCAAGCTCTCTTTTTGGGGATCATGATCTGCACCCAGGCGCAGATCTCTCCAGAGCACGGCCACAGCCGGGGCCTAAGCGCCAAACCAATAAACAAACTCAATCCATAAAATAAACAACTCTTAAACGCATCTCGTCTCTTGTAGTCTCTCCAGGTTGAAATGGAGCTTAAGCGGAGGTTCAGTATGGTAGACTACCTACGTTATCACACCAGGCGTGACCACGCCTTACTCAGCCTGTCTTAATCAACTCCCCGCAGCCGTGTCTATCAAGCCAGCGTTTAAGAGCAAAGCAGAGCACAGCTCACCAAACGGACTTCAAGCTGCAACCACCTCCTCCTCACCTCCGCCTCAGGATTTCTTCACTCTCACATTCACCTTGCCTTGTTGCCACCACCAGTGTCTAGGCCCTGGGGGATCATGATCTGCACCCAGGCGCAGATCTCTCCAGAGCACGGCCCCAGCCGGGGCCTAAGCGCCAAACCAATAAACAAACTCAATCCATAAAATAAACAACTCTTAAACGCATCTCGTCTCTTGTAGTCTCTCCAGGTTGAAATAAAGTACAGTAGGTATTGAAAACGACATTGATATCATCATTTGGAAGATTTGGCAAAAGCAGTCTTCTTGATAATGGGAGACAGGCTTCTTTGACAATGTTCAAATCCAGGCTCATAAAATACTGTTTAGCTGTGCATGCAAGTGAGGGATTGTATATTCACTCTTTTGAATATTTATGTTTTTTTACCTGTATTACTGTCTCTATCTTATTTTGTAAAGCACTTTTAGTTGCCTTGTGTTAACTGTGCTATACAAATAACCTTTCCTTGCAGTTGTTCTGAGTGGTGGCTAGGCCTGAAACACCCTGTTGCTGTCCATGGTGCTGAACCGGCACCAACCTATAGTGCTAAAATGAACCTCACTGACGGCCATATTTACAGTAAGTTTGTGTTTGTAGTAAAAACAGGCTTTTTTAAAGTTAGTAATTGATGTCAAATAGAACGTGATCCCCTTTAGCACTAGTCACAATGAGGTTGTAGAATTTATTACATTCAATCATCACACTGCTGCAGCGGTTAAACCTTAAAGAGACTTGTATCCTCCATATATATCTCCTATATGTAACCTTACACCTTATTTTCCTTCGCTCATTGGAGGCTGTGGGTGTGGTGTGTGGGCGAGTTTGAGAGGCAGACCAGGTGAATGCAATTACATTTTTACTATAAAAAGCTGCAACGTTTCTCTGATACTTTCTCTTCTCTGTGGCCGTGTATTCGCTCTGTTCAGGAATGCACACATTTGTACCACGCTTGATATGTTAATGTTTACATGTGTTAATATACTCTATGATGTTTGAACATTTTCAATCTTGTTTTGCTTCCAGTCAGACATTAGTTTACCTTGTTTATGGTTATAATACGGCTGAAAAACCTAATGAGTTCTACGTGCTATCTGATCTTCCCCCAGATTAGATATGAAAATCTGACAACCTCTGCTTGGACTGCTGTTCCCCTTGTGTTAACGTAAAGGTAAAGGTGCACTTTCTTGATCCCCATAGGGCAATTCATCCTCTGCATTTGACCCATCCTGATGCCACTGGGGAATATGTCAGGAGCAATTGGTCGCCGTAGTAACAGCGCCCGGGAACCCATCTCCAGATGTTGGTGCTCGGCTTGGTCAGGACTACTGGTGCTGGAGGATTTTACCTAATGTGCATGTTTTTAGTGGTAGGGGAACCCGGAGCACCCGGAGGAAACCTACGCAGACGCAGGGAGAACTCCACTCTGAAAGACCCTGTTCCGACCGGGATTCGAACCCCGGACCTTCTTGCTGAGAAGTGAGAGAGCTATCCACTCAGCCACCATGCTGCCTTGTGGCCATACTTGCATGTGGAAGCCAGATCCTGTTGGACCTCTGATGCTGTGCAGGGAAGGGCCTGGTTAGTGCTGAGATGGGAGACATCTGGGAATATTAATTGCCCCAGCTGCAACTGTAAAGTGGAAAACTGCTCCTAGAAAGAGTCGGGTGTGTGTGTGTGAATGGTTGGTGGTGGTGGTGGTAGGGGTTGATGACCTATAATGGATGCCTCATTTCTGTCAGAGTGCCCCAGGGCAGCTGTGGCTAGAGTAGTGGGGTTTGGAGTGAAAGAATGAGAACAGATGAAGCCTGTCTTTGAGTGTCCGAAAAAAGTATATAACACTGATGTATTATTATTATCATCATTATTATTATCCTTAAGTCTGGCTGGTGCTGGTGTTTTCAGAATGTGTAACCATAATTTACATGGAAATGGTGAAACACAGACATTATTATTGGGAAAATGACATATTTCCCAAACGCACACAAATAAACCTCATTTGTAACTGGCTTTTGTATTAGAAACACTACAATCACATTAGAAACCATCACATTTCCAGTCAGAATGGCCATTTACCCAGCACGGAAGTGATCAGGGAAATATGGTTTTGGGATGTAAAAAAAGCAATATTTTCTCGCCAAAAAGCGCCTTTGCAATCAGCAAATTCTAGTCTTTACAAACAAACTCCCAAACGGATCAAGCAGCTCACTGTGTTTGTGCAGTCATTACAGATGCGAGTAAACACATTATGTCCCGTTGTTTACAAACAGGAGACTAACCATGATTACAGAGATTCCACATGTTTACAATGTATTACAGCAAATTGATTGGCTTAACTAAAAAACTCCCGGAAACTACAACTGTTGTTCTGGTACTGTCACAGCAACTTCTATGAACAAATGAAAATGCTTTTGATCAGAGGAATCCAACAGTTACTCACTGGGAACTCAGTCTAGACACTGATTGTCCTGAATTTCACCTACGGGATCAATAAAGTATCCGTCTATCTGTTAATCTCTCTATCTATCTATCTATCTGTCTGTCTATGTCTCTATCTATTTTTCTGTAAAATGTAATGGCAAAAATTAAAGAAAGCTATAAAATAAGCATTATATTGCTTGCGTAAACATTTTACATGTCATGTCATGTTAGAATGTAACTTTTGTAGAAAATACAGTATATGTATACACATTTATAATCGATCTTTGTAATTTCCAACTTCTTCCTTTGGAGGGGAGTGTTGATATAACTTTTTATACGTTGATATAACTTTTTGTTTTCCTTATTTTTGGAGCAATTGCCTAAAGTCCAGATACAAGCTGAAAAATACTTAAGATCTGTTTTAGATGAGGGAAAAAAGTTGGGACATTTTTCAAAACTTGATTAGAAAATATTTTGTATAATATTTCTGCTTAATCTTTGATAAAGTTGTGGTCCGATACATCTGGAGAAACTCTAACAGACAAAACATGGTTATTATTAGAAATGTATGTTGTTTGGCAGTAATCTGACACTACACAAATTACAAATATGACTCAAATGTTCAAGATTACATGTATCGCTGCTCTACAAAAATGTGGTTAGGATTTGGCTCTTAGACCCTGAATGAGCACTGCACGATTGCAAAAGGGGAAAGAGATTATGAGATGAAATCCCACGGTGCCTAGACCCTGGTGTTTTTAGCTATGAGTAGGGTGGAAGAGCCGGCCTGGAACGAGGCGGAGATGGGGAGGAGGAGGGTTGCAGCATGAATGAAGATGCTGCTTGGATGGAGCTTCCTCGCGATATGAAGCTCGATGTGCGCAAAGGCAGCAGTCTAAGTAGAGACGATCAGACTTCCCTATCCACTCCTCCTCCAGTTTATCCAAGGAAATCCTGAGGTGTTCCCAGGCCAACTGAGTCTGTCCGTAATCTCGTCCCCTCAGTCATTCCCAGAACCTCATGACCAGGGATGAAGGAAGGAACATAGATTAAGTAGTTAAACACAAAAGCTATGCAAACTAATAAACCATTTAAAAGGTGCCAGTGCACAGATCAGTGAATCTAAATCACCATTATAGAGAGTCTTCCCATCCAAAAGATACAGTAACGTATGGATTTATTTACTTTCATTCATTACTACATCCTTTGGAGATATTATTATAAGCAATTCTACAAGTACTGCTTTAAATTGATGTAGCACATTTACAACTTGCCAACTCCAATTATTATCATCTCTCAAAGCAATGTACAGTACACTCTTCTACATTTTCATCATTATAAAGTGCAATGGTTTCCCCAACAGACTTATAATTGAACCAGCTCTGAACAACTTAACTGAACACACATAAATTGCATGTCTTTGTCTGTGTTTATGGAGTCAGACTTTTGATTTCATTAGATAAGCTTTGATAACTTTGAAAACTTTGACCAGTGTATGGATATGAAAGTCTTCCATAACGTGTGGAATTATGTGTGTCAGTCGGAAATGACACAGCAGCAGAAGAGCAACTTTGTGGCGGCCGTTCTGTGTGTAGATACAAGGAAAAGCTTTTTCTGTAGAAAGGCCACTCATAAGCACGGAGGAGGAAACAGCAGGCGGCACATTTAATTCACAGACAGTGGTTTACGTAGTGGACGTTTTTAACTCCTGCGTGGACCATGCATGACACACTGCCCATGTTTGTTGTGTGTGTACACTCAGTTGAAATTGTCTTTTGAACTGAAACATTTAACTCTATATATGAAAAAGGACGTTTTAGAACGTCAATCGTCTCAACTTCAATGAACATTAATTATTTTAGAAACTGTATTTTTTTATTGTAGCCTATGCCATCCATTTTGGATAAATATATATATATATATATATATATATATATATATATATATATATATATATATATACATAGTTCCCACATGACGTCACTACATACGGGGATTTGCCGACCCGGCACCATTTGTGTTGGCATTCTGTGGGCAAAACAATAGAAAAAGAAGCTGAAACGTGTTAATGTCGTGATAAAGTTGAAAATGGTCATCTCCTGCTGGGTGAATGGATGTTCAAATCGTGCCGGAGGTTCCGTTAAACTTGGATTTTACAGTATACCCATCATTAGACTTCATGAATGTGAGAAGACTAAGCTTTTGTCAGAACAACGACGGAGGTTATGGCTTGCGAAGATAAACAGGCAAGAAACTCCCTCAAAACACGCAAGAATATGCTCGGAGCACTTTGTGTCAGGTGCGTATCGTATCTTATAATGTGTTGACAGACGTAATTTACTCAGTACTAACTTGTGTATGCTGATAGCTGGTAACTTGAGAGTTTCATTATTTAGCGTTAGATTACTTTATTATGAGGAGGATCGGTGTCGCGTCCGAGGCTCTCGAGGGCAACGTAAATGTATTAAATAGATAATAATAGTTCTATGGTGGGCTAAAACAATGTTCACAAACAGCATTGCTTCTGTAAAAAGATCTGTGTCATAAAATAAACTGCTCTTTACGCCTGGAAAAATCAGTTGCCCACCATTCACCAAAACATACGGTCAAAAACGCGGAAATAAACAATAACAGCAATCCAGAGTGTCCGTGTGGCATTAGCATTAATTAAATTAATTGTTAATATAATTAAAATAATTAAATGGAGCTCCAACTGGTATTAAATCTAAAGTTTTTGAGAAATGTTTGCATTGCTTGTTAATTTTTGCTGCATAATTTGATCAAATATGTAAAACATGTCCGTAGCACGTTAAACTGTGGTGCCATTGTATTAATATACAATTATTTGCTCAAAAGTTGCCCTTTTTTTCCAATTTGCGTTTGAATATCTACATTTATTCTCATTCTTCTGTTTAATGGAATGCACAAACACAGCAGCGTGCCATCAAAGATGGCGTCTCCGAGGAGGTCATGTGACATTCATTGGTCTGTGGGAACTATGTATATTCATGGTTGTATCTTTTATATTTGTGACATGTTTATCTATGTTTGTTCACTTGCCCAGGGACTATGGACGGAAATGAGGTAAAGGTGGATAGGG